TGAATTAAAAGTAAATGTCCACTGAACGGCAATTGTCTCGTGAGAAGCGTTGTGTATAAAGCCCAGATTACAAGCGACAATGGGAAAGTGGTCAAGAATTATATAGGAATGACGGCGGGTCCTTTCAAGCTACGATATAGCAATCATTTGAAATCATTGAACAATGAGCGCTATTCGACAGAGACGGAACTTTCGAAATATGCTTGGGGTCTTAAATCGCAGAACAAATCATTCCGAATAAATTGGTCGGTCATGAAGCAAGTCCCAGCCGTTTGCCCAGGAATGAAAGTTTGTTCTCTGTGCACCGAGGAAAAAAGAATGATTATGTTATCGGACAAAATTAATACATTGAATATAAGATCTGAATTGTTTAGCAAGTGTAGGCATAGGAACAGTTATAAAGCTTCTAATTTCAACCGCGCGCGCGCAAGTAAACACAATCGTTTAAATGCTTGCGTCAGCAATCTAAGCGCGTCAGCGTAAACCGTTGTAATTTATTGCGAGATAATTAACATCAATCGCCTGATGATCGTACGCTGTACGTGAAACACTGTGTAGCGATGAAATAAAATTTTAAGATTGAAATTTGTTGTTTATGTCTTTTTATTTGCTCTACTGATTTATTGGTGTTGAGCACTCTAGTCCACTACGCACAAATTCAATATTGAATATATATATATATATATATATATATATATATATATATATATATATATATATATGCAACAAGTGTACACACTCTGCTCGGCAGACAAATACAAACAGGTTATAACACTGCCACGACTCCAAGTGAAATTATTTAATAAAAAAATATATATATAGCTTTAAATTTTAATTTCGGCAGCATGCCACCGCCTTCGTCAAAAAGTGACGAAGGCGGTGGCATGCTGCCGAAATTAAAATTTAAAGCTATATATATATTTTTTTATTAAATAATTTCACTTGGAGTCGTGGCAGTGTTATAACCTGTTTGTATATTATATATATATATATATATATATATATATATATATATATATATATATATATATATATATATATATATATATATATATATATATATATATATCGATAATAATCGTTGATTCAAACAAAAGTATGAACGCACTGAGTAGTTTGAAGAGTGCTCAACACCAATATTAGTAGAGCTTTATAATTGTTGTCTTTTCTACTTAAAATTAATTAAGTCGCAACTCTGAGTTTCACGTTTTCACGATCTTCAGGCGACGATGTATGTTCAACTAACTTTTCCTGCTTGATGACGTTGATATCCGTTGTGCTGCTTGCGTGACTGAGTTTGCGTGCGTGATTGAGCTTGCGCACGTTTAAACTTTTCGGCCAAGAATCGTTTTTGGTGAACGCACTTCGAGAACAACTCGTGTCTTCTATTTAGCAAGTTTGACTTATCCGCTTTTAGAATGCAAAGTTTCTCTTGGAGGCAAAGGTTACATCTCTTTCCACCGCTGGAATACGAGGCTGCTCGTTTTAGGATAGACCAATTAATCGTGAAGTCCTGCTGCTTTTCCTTTAAGTTCCACACGTATTTTGAGAGCTCCGTATTGTTCCTGTATATAACATTATTGAAAGATTTATTGTGGTTATATAACCGTGTCTTAAAGGTGTTTTCCGTCATGCCAATGTATTCTTTAGGTTCCGAATTGTTGGTTACCACCTCTGCTTTATAAACTATGCAGTCTAATAGGCATTTCTTTTGAAGAGGACATTCGTTGCTATTATTACAATTGCATGTGGCGCTGTATGTTGATGATGATGTTTGGGTTGTCGATTTCGGTCTTGATAGTATTCTGGTGTTATGCGTAGAAATTATACTCTTGCAATTATCCATGCAGCTGTAACTGACTTTCACCGAGTTACGATTAAAAATCTTATGAAGACAATTGGAGGGTGGGAAATGTTTGTCAATTAAATTGAGGAAGATCTTGCCCACGTTTGTTCTTACGTTCTTGCTGAACGGTGGATTGAACCAAATTATGTTTCGTTGTCTTCGTTTATTACCACTACCGTTGTTGCTTGGGGTATAATGCAAGTTCGCATGATAGTTGCTGTGGTTCAATGCGCTTTCATACATGGGTGCAGCGGCTGAAAAGGCATTTTGGTCGGATGATAATTGCGAAATACGTTTGTTCACTGATAGCGGGATTTGTTTTATGATTGATGGTGGATGATTCGAACGACTGTTGATGAAAAGGGGGTCATTATTAGGTTTCCGGTAAGGCTTGTAACTCTGCTCGTGTAAATTGAAAGTTAAGTCGAGGAAGTTGACGGTTTGGTGGCAAATTTCGGCTGTTATCTTTAACTGGAAGTTCTCTGCAAACAACTTGTGCAGATCTTTTCTTGCCTTATCGGCTAGACGTTTTGAAGTTCCCTTCAGTAAAATAAGTCTATCATCACGATAAAGACCAACGTAATCTTTCCCGTATTTCTCAGCTAAGGAGTTTAGAATAAATAAGCCGACTAGCTCACATACCTCTGCGCCGTCGTAACTTCCCATTGTAACGTCAAATGTGGTGTTGCTTTGTCCGAAAAGTTTGAACGTGCGCAAGCTCAATCACGCACGCAAACTCAGTCACGCAAGCAGCACAACGGATATCAACGTCATCAAGCAGGAAAAGTTAGTTGAACATACATCGTCGCCTGAAGATCGTGAAAACGTGAAACTCAGAGTTGCGACTTAATTAATTTTAAGTAGAAAAGACAACAATTATATATATATATATATATATGTTTATTTTCCACTATTTTGAATCGAATTCCCGCCTATTTTCAAAATATGAGTCCACAATCATGTTAAAAATGCTTGTCAGCGGTCATTGGATTTAACAATAGTTAACGCTAACTGCAGTGCAGTTAGCGTTAACTATACTGCAGTTAAATTTGACTACTTTTTTATACAACCGGCCCCAGATATTTACACTTGTTTAGTGCACGTCGTTTTACAATTGACTGATGAGTGATGTAACTTACAATTACCCAGCATGCACGATTGCGCATTAACAATTTATTCACGCTCTCAACTCACAATTTGCAATTCCAACTAACACACACATACAATACAACTTTTAGCCTATATTTACACTAACAGAACAGGAATACATATTTCCCCTAACACAAATTTCCCTTGTGTAAATGATGGAACACGTTTACTGCTATTTTGTTCCAATTTTGTGCTATGATCTAATTGTGATCTACCGTAGACTGGCACCATCCCAAGTCATGTCCGTTGCGTACTAATGTGGGATTAGGCGTTCCCATTACCATGCAATTTTATTTCCTATCACGTTTAACGATACAAATAATGTTTTCTACATATATAATATTTTTAACACAGGACACATAGCTAGGCATTACACACATAATACATAGACGGCATTTTGCGACAA